TCCTCCGTAGCCAGCTGGCTGATGCCCTTCCCCTGCACTGCAGCACTGAGCCGCTAAGAGAATAGGCATGGGCGAGCGGCAACCTGCAACCTTGAAGGCTGTCGCGGCAAGGGGCGGTGGCACTGGCAGCGGCACTGTGACAGCCGCAGAAAGGTGCGTGCTGCAGCTTGGCCTAGGTTGCGCGGCGCGCTAAGGGCCGCGCGGTGGCGGCCTGATTCACATCGCGGTGATGAACTGACGGGGTCAGGGGATTGGGGATCGAGAGCTAGGTGATTCCTTGATGCTATGCTGGTGGGCTCTATTCTTCTATTGGGCCTTTGGCCTTCGCTCATGTGGCTCTGGACCCTCTCCAAATAATGTGTTCTAGTCCAGTCAGGTGTCCAGCCGTGCCGTCGGAGGTCCACGCCTGAGGAAGAAGACAGAGTTACTAGGTGCTCCCGCCGGCGGTAGGTGGGGCGCCCTGCCGCATGGGGAGCTCCGCCTCTGCTTGGATTTCTGATGAGCGGTGCCGGCGTTCAAATCAGTGGGCCACGGCACTCTCTCAATTTGCTCCACTCGCTGGACGAGTGTAACCAACGACTAAAAAAAGGTACTCTAGTAGAAATGGTAGAATTAAACAAGATATTTCGGCTGAAACAGCTATATATTATTATCCATTCACTTATAATGGGGTCTGATCTGGTCGACCCGATCAAACTATTTGACTTTTGCGTTTTGCCCATATATCATTATTTTAATTTCTGGAAAGTCCACTGAAGCCATTCTACGTTCACCCAATTTTGGATCTTCATACGGGCAATTATGGTTTCTTAGTTCAATTGCAAAAGGAAGAGAAAGAAACCAACTTGGCTAACCTCTCTCTCAGCAACATATCAGCTTTCTAGCATGCATGTTTGAGAGTTAGATTGCAGGACAAAAGATCAGCTATGCTTTTGTTGTTTGAATAAAAAAACACTAAACCAGGAAGAAAGCTAACCTCAAAATAGAGGTTTTCTTTTGCCTGTTATGGATCGGCCGCATATGAAGATGAAAGATTAGTTCCTAAGCCTGTCTCGTCCTATTTCTAGTTGTCATAACCTTTTAACAACTCTAACGTTTTTTTAGATGAAAGAAGTTTTGTTTAAATAAAAATCCTGGTATCTGTAGTAAGATATATGCATGGTACATCACTTAGTCATTACTATAAAAATGAAATAAAAATACAATGAGATGTATGTTGTCCTTGACCATCTATTCATCTAATCATCTACCTAGACATGGCCAACAATCACAAAAGATGATCGACAGGACTCACTATAAGATCACTGGTACACATTTGAGTTGCTGAGCTTCTTCCTTTAAGCGGTAACCAACAACTCTAATGAACATTAGTTGCATTGGCAAAGGGATAGACATCATTTCCCCCCTTCGTGCCTTACAATACACACTACTCCCTCTGTTCCAAATTATAAGTTGTTTTTTACTTTGTGGAACGTAGATTTTGCTACATATCTAGACATATGTTATATCTAGATACAAGCAATATTGATGTACCAAAAAAACCAAAATGACTTACAATTTGGAACAGATGGAGTAATTCCTCCGATAAGAATCTATATTAATTAAGATCGTCAGAATTAGGCGATTTTACTGAAAACACAAAATACTTGTCGTACTTTAAATCAGCCAGACGATCATAGTGAAGCATCGGTCTAGAGCATCGGCGGTGATCGAGTTGTGTCCATTATCTCTGCTTGACTCAAGTTGGCAATGGCATCTTCTACTCCGATCCTACATACTACGTACAACAAGGATCCAGCACCCAGCAGCGGCAGCAGTCACGCATGTTGCATTGGTCAACAAGGTACCTACATTAACACTGAAGCGAAGACGAATTATCGGTATACCAAGACAGAGACGCGAGTGCATGCATCATAATATCCTATCCTTGCAGGAATCGAGCAAGCACGAGCGCATCGGTTAGCTAGGTTAGGTACGTCTGGCTTCCTTGTGCGGTGGAGCTGCACGGACGGAAAGGTCATCCTCATTAGAGGAATCTAGATGCATGGAACATTAGCAGGTGGCAAAAGGCCGACGCACTATCTGCCCAGCAGCGCCCGCACGCCGCGAGAGATATATATATATATCTCGATCCATCGTTCGGTCTCGTCGTCGCCGCCGCCGCCGTCAAATCCGTCCGTTGTCGTCGTGTGGGCGTTCACGAGGGCGACCCATATCCATCATGCATGTATATCCATTCGCCGGCGGCCGTACGTGAAGCCCGGTTGGCGAATGGCGAGCGAGCTGGTCTTATCACCAAGACACAGACAAACGGCGGAGGAGGCAGCTGGGTGCTCCTCCGATCCGGCCAGAGTGTGCGGCGCGCGGCGCGCCTGCGCCTGCGGCGGCGCCGCATGGACTACATACGGACTACGAGTACATAATATGCAGCACGCGTCTGGTGGTTCGTACGTACGCGTGCGAGGCAATAGCTAGCTGGGCACCTGCGGCTGACGCCGGTGCCGACGACGAGCGCGTACGCACGATGGCGTTCGGTTGGATCAGTACACATGCACGTTGCGTGCAGAGGGAGATATGTATACCGTACAAGGTTTCATATACCAGATAAAAACTACTGACAAGACAAATCTGTGTATAAATACTGACGATCGAGCAGACTGCGTATGAAGTTAATGAAGGTAGGATACATTGTGCTACCGCGCAGAACTGTGTTTGCAGAATTGCAGTTGCATTGCTAAGACATGATGATGTGAAAACAACAGCTTTGCTGAATTTCACTATCGTATCCCTCAATGCCCCAACCTTAACAGATGGTGATGTGCTTCATCATGCTCATTATTATTATCAGAGTAATCATGCATATACGACAATGCAAGAAGCACTCAGTTAGAGCATCTCCAAGAGTTTGCTAAAACTCACTTGCCAAATCTTGTGATTTGGCAAGTTGCTAAAACATATGGCAAGTGAAATTTTGTAGTCTCTCCAATAGTTTGCCATATGGGCTTGCCAAAACTTAAAAAGTAGGCCCACTTCCAAACCTCCGTCAACTAATTTTGTTCGACGCTTCACATGGCCGCCCACGACACTCCTCGCCTGGCGCCCGCGACTCCTCGCCTGGCCGCGCGCCGCCACACATCGCCGCTTCCTGCAGCCGCCCAAATCTCATCCTCCGCTGGCCCCCAACATCGATCTCTCATCCGGCCGGCAATCCTGTTCATCGAGCCAGCGAGTCCAAGGCGCGGCCATCTCCTCCAAGACCTCCAGGTGATGTTCCCATCGGTTCAGCATCCAATGATCTAGGTTATACGTATTGCAATTTCTATATTCTTTAGTTTCTTGCAATATACTGAGGAAAGTTCCCATCCAATGATCTAGGTTGTACGAATTCCGGTACTTTTGTTAGTAAGGAATCATGTCTAGGAAGAGATCCCTTTTTCGAAGACAGTTGGGTGATTCAACATCCGATGATGATGATTTTGACATGTTATCGGCTGCTGTAATTGTGGACTCCTTTGCCAATGCCAAAAAAAAAAACACGGTGGCTCTGTCGAAGGCCATAGAGTTCTTCACCGTGATAGAGAAGGCGGCCACGAGAGGTTGTTTCAAGATTACATGGCGGAGAATCCAACATATGGCCCTGAAATATTTCGTCGAAGGTTGTTCTTATTTCACTTAAGTTGATTTGTTGTATGTGATTAAATTTTATTGGAGTTCTAAAAGTTTAGTTTTGTTTTCTTCAGGTACAGGATGTCTAGAGAGCTTTTCGTACGCATCATGAATGCAGTTGAAGCATACGATGATTATTTTGTGCAGAAAAGGAACGCGGCTAATGTACTTGGATTGAGTTGCCTGCAAAAAGTCACTGCAGCAATGCGTATGATCACTTATGGCGTTCCCGCTGATGCGACAGATGAGTACGTTCGCATTGGCGAAAGTACTGCACTAGAGAGCTTACGGAGGTTTGTTACTGCAATTGATGAAATATTTGGAGAAGAATACCTCAGATATCCCAATGAGGCGGACACAGCACGCTTACTTGCAATGGGTGAGCAACAAGGCTTTCTAGGGATGCTAGGGTCCATAGATTGTATGCATTGGGCGTGGAAGAACTGTCCATACGATAAACAGGGTCAGTACAAGGGGAAAGAGGAGAAGCCCACTATCATTTTGGAGGCTGTTGCTTCGAACGACCTTTGGATATGGCACGCCTTTTTTGGAATGCCCGGCTCTCATAATGATATCAATGTTCTTCATAGGTCTCCGTTGTTTGATAACTTGGCAGAAGGAAAAGCTCCAGAAGTCAATTTTTCTGTTAATGGCCATGATTATACAATGGGCTATTATCTTGCAGATGGCATATATCCCACATGGGCTACTTTAGTCAAGTCGATCACTAAACCTATGGGGAACAAGAGACAATATTTTGCTAAAGCGCAAGAAGCAGCCAGGAAGATGGTCGAGAGAGCTTTTGGGGTTCTTCAGTCTAGGTTTGCAATTGTTCGAGGGTCAGCTCGCTTTTGGGACATAGAGACATTAACAAAGATCATGAGAGCTTGTGTGATCATGCACAACATGATTGTGGAAGATGAAGGATTCGTTGTCGACCCAAATGAGCGTTTTGATTACGGTGGTGAAAATGTCGAACCCGAGCATGACAAGCCTACCCGTACACTTGAAGAATACATTGAAGCGCACAGAAAGATCAGGGAGAAGCAAACACATGTTCAACTGAAAGAAGACCTCATCGAGCACCTGTGGAAAAATCACCCAGATTTATATAAATGAATTTTGACATGAGATGTAATTTTCATGGCTTAATTTGTTCAGAGAACCTTTACATTGGCGAGCAGCAGCATAGCACACGCACATAAAATGAAGAGGCACATAAACTAATTCAACACAAGTGCAAATAACTTGAACTCCAAAGAAGCTTAAATAAATTTCATAATGGTTCAACAGTAACAACTGAAGTGACACAGTGCTGGATAACTAAACTGAATTTAATTTTCCTCCATCTTCTCCATAATCATCTTCTGCTTCTTCTCAACCCATGCACGCTGGGTCGGGGTGAGGGACGACATGTCTGCTAACATAATATCTTTTTCCTCTTTCAGTAGCTTCGCTTCTGCTTTTTTTTCTTCACTTGCAACCCGTTTCTTCTCTAGCTCTAGAGCAGCCTTCTCTACCTCTAGTGAAGCCATGAACCTTGCTTCTTTGGCCTTCTCCAAAACCTCCCTCTTTGCCATCATCTTGTCCAAAGCTTCCATGCAAGCCTCGCCACCACCACGCTTCATATTTGCTTTTACCTTCTTTATCCCATCTGACCTTTTCTTTGGTAAGGTTTGTTCAGCTTCAGCTTCTATGAGAGCATCATTATGTGTGGCATCATTATGTGTGCCATCATCATATGTGGCTCCTTCATCCCTCGGCCTGAACTCTTCTGTTTTTTTGCTTGCTTGCTTGCTTCTTTCTCCACCTCAACTAGTTCTATCATCTTCGATTTCCACTTGTCTTCCCCTTCAATATTTTCCAACAAAGTAAAAGACCAAAAGTTTTGTTGTCCTTGTCCCATTCCACATACAATTTTTTTTGCTTCAATAATCTGTAAAGGGATATTGTCGATTGCATATATCATTTATAAAAACCAAATTAAAGTAAAACAACACATGTTTGCATACCTTGTCATCAATAGTTAACCCACTTTGATTCCTACGTAGAATGGCCTCATAGCATGAACAAAACTTGTTCACTTGCAATTGAATTGTCACCACCTATGCATAATACTGCTCACTGTCCTCTCATCAGGAGTTTCCTTGTGTTCCTCATAATAGGCATGAATTCGTCCCCAAAAAGATGAACGAGTTTGATTGGCACCGTGAATGGGATCTTTGCTTACATTCAACCAGCCCGAGCATATAATTTCATCTTCCTGCCAATGGAAATTCTTTTTCCTCTTGGCTGCTCCCTGGCTTTATCTTACTTGGCTAACTTGCGGTTTCGTCATGAGGTTGAGTGTCTTGAGTTAATCCAATGTCCATGTCTTCCAAACCAGCACCAGCTTCAACTTCTCCAAGAATGTTCGACAAGAAATTTGGGTCATCTACTTGCATCTCCATTCCTATAAAAAAAATACAACTACCACTAATTAACAAGAAGAACTAGGTTGCTGTTTTGTTTCAAAGACAAAAAATACAAATCAAGGCATGAATGGTAGGTGAATCTACCACTACCACATATGAAACCTAGCACGCAACAAAAATCAACCCTAGCGAGAATCATTCAAGGCATATGAACCATCATCGCTGAATCCAATCAAGGCATATGAACCATCATCATTGAACCCAATCAAGGCATATGAACCCTAGGGGAACCAAATCAAGGCATGGAGTTGGACTGAGATTAGATCAAGGATGACGTACCTCGGATCGGGAGTAGGGGCGCCACCACCGCGATCTGTGTCTGTTCGAGTCCGTGAGGCACTTCATGATGGGATCTGGATCCAGTCCTCGCGAGGAAGACGCCGCAGCGCAGCTGGCTCTTCGAATCGCGCCGAGGATATATGAAGCGATGAGGCCTGGGTGGCGAGGGAAACGCAGGGTGAAAGTTCCATCTGCGCGCGGGAGAGGAGGCGGGGCCGGCAATTCACGCGATGGCAACGCGATGGCAAGTCCCCTACCGCGCGCAAATATGCGCGTGAACGACCGGTGGATGGCAAGTTGGGAAAATTTGCCAAGCCATATGCCAAACTGTTGGAGTTTGATTTTTCTAGTTTTGCCAAAAAACCAAGGATAGCAAGTGGTTTTGGCAAATTCTTGGAGATGCTCTTAGTAGCTCTGCGCATCCATGCCGGATAAGCAGACCTTAAACGTGCTGGAAAAATGACATCCAACTCCAAAGATGTTTTTGGAGCAGGCCATTCTTATGGGGTACGGCGGTGCCTGCGTTTCTGTTATTGGCTGCTGCTGTCACTTCTTTTAATTTCGACCTCATTTGCAGCTGATCAACGTGCATTATATATAAATATAAAATCCCATTGGTTGTGCCACTTTGACAAGAATCTGAAACAAATTCGGGGGCCACATTGCGGATCAAAATCAAAGTGTGTATATATTGACAAGAAAGCAACGAGTTGTTTCCACAAGTGTGCAAAGAAAATGACGTTATTACACTTGGCATTATGACGTACCTGCGTTTTGCATAGTTGGTTGGCTACAAAGTTCACAACTCTTTCAGAAAATGGGTAGAAAATTGTAGCATGCTTGTTCGGTGAGATTTGTTTTGTTTGGCCCTTCCCTTCCATTCCATAATATCGCCCATTAATTCCTGCAGTCCCGCGCGTTCACACGTGCGTCGTTTTATCAGACAGTAACTGGGTAGAGTTGCTGTCCCTGTCAGGCAGTACATCATGGCCTAGAAAGCGGCCGCAACTGTTCAGTTTCAGCTCAATGTTTGTTTGCATTGTTAAATACTGTAGAGTTCATTCAGTGTTTACAAGAAGGCTGTGTGAACTAGCTAGTAGTACCAATGGTCTGACCTTTGAGAATCAGGTAACCTGATTGCAAAGTTCAAGGAGGCATCGTCGATAATTCAATAGGCCATCATTATTGCCGTCCAAATGAGCACACTCCTGCTTATTTAAAAAAAATGCATTACCATCCAAAATGAGCACTCTAAATCACCTCCTCACTTCGTAGATTATGTAGATAGATTAAATTCTATATAATAAGTTTGGTTTTTTTCAGTCCTAATTTTGTTCTTTTTTAGTAAAATGTAATTATGATACTAGTTGTTGCTTGATTGATCTAAGTAGAAAAGGACAGCCTATTTTCCCTTTGTCCTTTGTAGATAACTTAGATATATACACCACGCAACATTTAAAAAAATGGAAGGGCAAATTGAATTATATTGCTAAAGGATGTACACGTTAAAGAATATAGGATAAAAATCTTAAATGTGATAAATAAAAACATAGAAACTATTGGAAAAACACAACAATATAATTGGGTTATTATTCAAATAATAATAAATATCAGCAAAAAAACTCAATTTTATTAATTATACCATAAACAGAGTATGAAAAATAATAAGAATATACTAAAACCTAAAAGAGAAGGAAACGTCATAGCACAAAATAAAGTTAAAATATTTCATATACCACTCACCATTTTAAAAAGAAAAAATGGAGATGAAAAAAGAAGTGATCAGAAATGGTATTAAATGTAGTATAGTTCGGCCCATAATGAAACTGCTGGGGAAGGAAAAGAAATGCAAAATGGGCCTTTTGAAAAAAAGTAAAGTATGCTCCACCACAAAATCAGCCCACCACAGCCTGCAACGGAGGAGGCATCCGGCCGGCGCTTGCTTTCCTCCCACGTCACCTAGCAGTAAGGAAAAGTGCCTGTGTGGGCTTGTGGCGTCCTCCCATTTACCCAAATTCCAACGTTACAATCCCATAAAAATATGTAGTTCAACAATGAGAAGAATGAGAAAAAAAAAAGCATGAAGCTCGCTTCAAAATCTTGTTTCGACAACGTGTAACTGTTTGAAAATCAAGTTGAGCTTTGTCACATAATTCGTATCTGAGAAGACCAGGTGCATAAAATATATGTCACAAACATATATTTGATATTATAATAAACTTTGAACACATCAACCAGTGTCAGTCAATCTTATTTCTGTGAATTTTATGACATAAAGGCATGTTTAGTACAACTCCAACAAGACCATATATATAGTTTGCCCAGCTCGAGCTTGCAGTATATAAGGACAAGCACACCTCGATACTCCCTCCGTTTCAAATTGTGAGTCATTTTGACTTTTCTAATACACAACTTTTACTTATGCCTATATAAGTTCATACATGCATTCATGTGAGGAAAAGATGAAGAAGATAATAGAGTAGTATTGCATACAGCGTAATGTTACTTGGGTATCCCAATGCACTTTAGGAAAATCAACAATAAAGATTGGAAAGTGATTGAGGACAGAATTGAAAAGAGATTGAGTGGATGGAAGGGCAAAGTGTTGTCTTATGGAGGGAGGCTAACACTCGTAAATTCAGTGCTATCAAGTTTACCTATGTTCATGCTTTCTTTTTTTGATGTCCCAAGAGGTGTCCTTAAGAAAATAGACTATTTTAGATCAATATTCTTTTTGGCAAAATGAGCAACATAAGAAAAAATATAAATTGGCTAGATGGAACATCCTATGCCAGATGGGAATTCATAACTTGGACATACAAAATAAATGTCTACAGAGCAAATGGCTTTTCAAGCTTTGTAATGAAGATGGCTTGTGGCAAGAACTTCTTAGAAATAAATACTTAAAAGGTCAATCTTTGAGCCAAATAGAAAAAAACTGGAGACTCATTTTTTTGGTTCGGCCTTATGGGTGTCAAGAACCATTTCCTTAGTCTGGGAAGGTTTAAACTTGTTAGTGGTGTTCAAATCAGATTCTGGGAGGATAGATTGTTGGGCAACCATGCTTTCAAACAACTCCAATACATAAACTTGTTTAATATTGTATGCAAAAAACATGCAACAGTGCCGACGTGTTTAGTTCCAATCCACTTAATGTTAGCTTTAGGAGGACATTAGTGGGAAACAAGCTAGTAGAATGGCGTAGTTTGGTTGCCCAATTAGCACACACCTCTCTATATGAGGGGTACAGATCAATTTGTATGGAGTTCAAATAAAAATGGGTCTTTCATTGTTAAATCTATGTATAGACATTTGATCAATAACAGGGTTAAAGTTCCACAAGAAATTTAATGAAAATACAACTTAAAATCAAAGTTTTTGTGGTTTCTAAAGCAAGGAATAATCCTAACCAAGGATAACCTAGCTAGATGACACTGGAATGGAAGCCAAGCATGTTGTTTTTGGAGTAAACATGAGACAACCCAGCATCTTTTCTTTGAATGTCATTATGTCCGTTTCCTTTGGTGTTCCTTGCATATTGTGTTTAGTATAAGTCCTCCTAGAAATATAAACCACTTATTTAATGATTGGGCGAAATTAGGGGGTCATAGGCACAACCTAAAGTTATTGACAAGTGCAACAACGATTTGATGGGCAATTTGGCTCACAAGGAATGATTCAGTTTTTAATAACTGTTATCCAAAAACTTTTTATGGGTTCTTTTCAGGGGACATATTGGCCACTGTTTTGGGCCCAGTTGTGGCGCTTGGATGACTACAATGAGCAGATCATACAAGTATGTTAGCTTTTAGAAACAAGAGCTATAATGTTCTATGGATGGCCTTATGTTTTCCGGATTGATCAATAATTTTGAACTTATTTTTGTTGCATTTGTAATAATTGTGGACTGATTCTTCTTCAAATACGAAGTATGAAGCCGGAACTCTTTCCATTATTAAAAAAAAAGGAGTTGACAGAACCATGTCCATTTCAGGAGAGAGGTAAACGTACATATTTGCTTTCATCCTTGGCGTATAAAAACACCACGAGCCCAGGTTGTGACGTCCGGAGTAGGGCAAATTGGGCTTCACCAGTGGACCTTTGGTACGTAGCTCAGAAATCGTCAACATTTGGGCAAAGCCCAGGTATTGAAATGGGTCCTGAAGTTCTCTTTTGGACCTTGGAATCTGGGCTTCTCCTGCATGCTCTGCGGGCCGGCCGTCTCAAGCGTACATAATGTTTGTATCAAATTATAACACAATAAAACGAATAATGTTTTAATTTGTTGCACTAAAAACATATTATAATTAAAAAATACAATAGCTAGCGCATAAGGAAGGCAAAAGAAACGGAAGAGAATCACTGTGAAACCACCCTCCGATCATTTCACGTCCACAGACAGGAATCCAGAAATGTTTTTAGGCTGAAACATTTCATGTTTTTACTGTTTGGCACTAATTCTCTGGTTGTAGCCCAAAATCTGAAACGATTTAGCTTGCCAAACGCACCCTATAAAGGTGAAGCACCTAATGTGGCCTCTTGGCTCTTAGATGAAGTCGTTTGCAACAAAAGCCCAACCAAATAGAGCCAAACTAGACCGAGTGTTCCACCTAACAGTTAAGCCGATCAATCCAAACAGGAGCCAGCCGGCGATTAAGCCAATCAGGAGTGACGACCTCAACTGTTTAACGAGGGCATGATAGTCTTTTTCCTTGCTTTGTATTCTTAAAGCTTTCTTTAATTTAGAAATTGAGAGCCAAGGAGTGAATAGTGGAGCACCATACTAAATAGTGATAAAGCTAGAGCAAATTAGACGATGGTGTACTTGCTTGTGACCTTATAAGAGTATAGACTTATATTATAGGATGTAGATATGATGAAAATTTAACTAAAATCACTTTTTTTATTTTTAAGGGCGTGCATTTGCACCCTGAGATAATATCCCACCCTAACACTAGGGTTCTATTTGGATCCATTTGTTGCTATCAGTTAGCTAGTAATAGTTCATAGCTAATATTAGCTGATATTGTTCGTTTCATCCAACTAATAAAATAGTATTAGTCGGG